AAATATAGATCAACCTATAAGATTTCGTAGACTTTTTTTAATAGTTTAAGTCTGATCTATTTAATTAAATAGACTTTTAGAAAAATATAAATCTAATCTTTTTATTAAATTGACCTGGCATGATCTTAAATAGACTAAACTATATAAGTCTTTATAGGTTGGTGTAGGCTAAACTCATCTATTCTCACCCCCTAATTTGAAAGGAAAAAAAAAATTACAATGAAATTGTTGAAGCATAAATAGCACTAATAATAGGGTTTATCCTTAATACAAAAAAAAAAAAGTGGAGAGAGACTTTACGAAAGTATACTTTCAAATTTATCTAAAAATATATTTTTAACTATTTTTTACACAATGAAAATATGACTCACGCATGGATTTAGTGTATTCATGGTATATTCAAATATATATTTTCAAATTTTAGAAATAATTTTGATTTTTTACTAGAATGGGTGGAAAAAGTAATTCCTAAGAGTTTGGATCTGAAAATTATTAGACCACGCCACAGACCTAAGAAATTAACTTGTTATCCCTATTTTTATACATATTATCTCCAAATTTCATTATTTTCGAAATATCTCTTTTACTATTCAATTTTATTATGTTGGCACTAAAACATACACTACACTATATGTTAAAATAATCAAATCATCTTATTTTATTATTTAATTTTTCTCTCTCATTCCTTTTTTCCTTTTAGTATCACATTGTCACTCTTTATTTTCTTAAAGAAAAATTGATAAAAGAATTAATGCAGTGAAGTTGGTAAATGAACAGTGCATATAAATAATACAAGAATGATAATTTTTAATAATATAATAAAGTTGATTAATGAAATTTAAAAAATTAGTTAATAAAGTGATAAAATTGATTAATAAATAATATATTATTAAAAATAATTAAGTAATAAAATAAAATTAGTTAATAAAATATAAAAAATTAGTTAATAAAATAAAAAAGTTGATTAATAAACACCTAGATATTAAAAATAAATTTTAGTAGTAAAACAAAATTGATTAATGAAATATATAAAATTGATTAATAAAATTTTGAAATTGGTTAATAGATTGTCCGAATTTTTAGTAGTTATGAAATTGGTTAATGAAATATAAAAAATTAGTTAATGATGTTATGAAATTGGTTAATAGAATCTTTAGTAGTTATGAAGTTGGTTAAAAATATATTAAAAATATTTTTTTTTAAATTATTATTATAATATTTCACAGTATTGGTGAATAGTAAAATACAATGTAGGTGTAGAAATGTGGTGTAAGAATATCATTTCTCTTTACTATTTACTCTAAAAATTTTATTTTTGTCAAAAAAAATTTATCATTGGTCAAAAGAGTCAAAAAAACGAAATTTCCAGTAAGCTAAATAAATTTCCGGTGCCAATTTTGATCGCTTACCAGAAATTCTTTACATTCTATAAATTTTCGGTAGCGATTAACCAGAAATTTAGCACATGTACTGGAAATTACGAAAATTTCCGGTAGAAAACGTTAATTGGAAATTTGAAATTTTCAAGGTACCGAAAATTTCAGTTATACTTGAAATTTCCATTATGTCTACAGATGACATTTTATATTTTTGTGGTCCTGAACCGACAGCGTCAGCTTCTTCTACGAATTTGTGTATTAATCTTACGCAGTTCTTTATCACAGATACGGTATGGTTCTTATTTAATTTACATATTTTTTTATTTGTTTTTTTTTTATATTGATGAAGTTTACTAATTATATGTTATTGTAATTGCCAGATTTTTGAATCACGAGTTAAAGTTCTAGAATGGGCACAATCTATTGGTAAAAATTATGGTATTGTTGTTGTTACAATTCGGTCTGATTCTGCTAATGGATTGTGAGGGAGGAAGGATAAATTGATTATGCGTTGTGATATAAGAGGAAATTACAAAAAGAAAAATGAATCTAAAAAGCCGTCTGATGACAACTATACTATGAAGGTTAGATGTTCATTTAGGCTGAAATTTATTCCAAGTGTTATCAGTTGAAAGGTGATGGTTAAATGCAGTTTGCACAATCATAAACTATATAAGGATTGGGAAGTCCATGATATATTGGGTTGTCTAAAAGATCATGAAAGAAAGTTTGTGAATGACATGACGAAGTACAACATGGCACCAAAGTACATTGTGTCTGCTTTGAAAGACAAAGACCCAGACAATCTCACGAGTATTACCCAGGTATACCGAGCTAGAGCAACATACAGAATGGGCAAGAGAGGTGCAATGGCATAAATGCAAATGTTATTGAGCCTTATTCATCAAGAAAAATACATGTGTGGGACTAAAAATAGGAAGAATTCAGATATTGTGGATGATCTTCTAGACACATCCTGACTTTGTGAAGTTGTTCAATATGTTTCATGTGGTGTTAATATTTGATTGCACATACAAGACAACATAGATAAGAATTTTACTTCTCTCATTCTAAAATACGATTGAGTGACATGGTTGTTTATGTACATTTTAATCGTACACGTACCGACTACCATTGTTGGAGATTGTTGGTGTTACATCAACAAAATTGACTTTTTCAGTTACTTTTGCCTATTTAGAACATGAAAGGGAGGACAACTTCACATGGGCACTACAGAAGCTCAAAGAGTTTTTCTATTCAGAGAATTGCATCTGAATGTTGTGGTGACGGATCGGGGACTTGCATTAATGAATGTCATTGATTATGTGTTTCCAAATGCAAATCATATGTTGTGTACGTTTCATATTTCAAAAAACGTGAGCACGAAATGTAAGGAGTATGTGACATCAGAAAGACAAGAAAATGTCATGGATCAATGGAATAACATCATGTATTCAAATACAGAAGACGAGTTTGAAATACATTTCAACCACTTCGAGAGTGTTTGTGGTGACATTCCATCATTTATCAAGTATTTGAATGAAACATGGTTAACACCATATAAAGAAAGATTTGTTGTTGTATGGACTAACAGAGTCACTCGCTTAGGGAACACAACAACAAACAGGTACATTGGACTAACAAAAAATATATTTATGTTTAGATATTAATTTGAAAGTTGTTTATATAATATCTTCATGTTTTCTTTCATTTATACGTCGATGACATAATTGATGTTGAGAATGATGGAAATTGTGGTTTCCGTTGCATTTCACCTTTAGTAGGATGGGGCAAGATGCATGTTATTCGGTTCGAAAGCAGTTGGATACTCAAGTCCATCAACACGCTGACTTATTTTCCAAGTTATTCTATGACAATATCTTTGTTGTTAGAACTTCGTTACAAGTAAAATATTTGGGTGTGCAAGATAGAGATAAATTGATGTCAAATCCTGATATGGGTTACCCTATTGTTTCTAAATATGGAGTCGTATTTATTTTCATTTCTATGAGACTTAACATAACATTTTCCCACTTCTCATAGCGTCACCCCTGTACACGAGTCGACATACAATCATTGTTGTTGATTTTGTCAACAAAAATCATTGGGTTCAACAAAAGTTAAAACCCGGTTGTATACTACCTCCTGTCACTACTCATTGGAGGGAGAATTGTTCTAATGATGCAAAAGCATGAGAATCAACTTATGCAGGTCATTTCAGACATTGGAAAGAATTCTCCAGGAAGTAATTGTAGTTTTTATTAATGTATATATGTATGACATTTATTGTATTTATATATTAAGTCGGTTCGATATTTCACTATGTATTTTATTCAAATAAAAATAAAAAAAAATATATTTTAAATTTTTTTTCAATACTACTAGAAATTTAAAATTTTTGACTTTTTTTACACCAGAAATTTCAAATTTCAAATTTCGTATAAGGATGAAATACATCGGAAATTTGAAATTTTCGATACCAAATTTCCGATTAAGTTCATATGACACAGTAAAAAATTGAAAAATCAACAAAATTTCTAATACGACACTAAAAATTTCAAAATATCCAGTATATTACATAGACAATTTCATAAAAGTGTTAAGACAGAAGGCTAACATGTATAAAATAAAGAGTGGCATGTTAATTCCTTCACCAGCTTAGTTGGCCGGCTTGTGCTATTCACACTTCTGAGATAAAAATATTACTCTTTAGTCTCATATATACATAAAAAAAAAAAAAAAAACTAACTTCACCTACCTTATGAAGAGTAATTAGTGTCATTTAATTTTCTCAAGATAATTAAAACGTAATTCTATTTTTCAACTTACCTGTCATAGAATTTTGTTCTATTAGAGTAAAAACTTTATATTGTTTTAACCCAATTGAAGAATAATATAGGGAAAATAATATTACATAAGATAAAATTTTGTATCATTTGCTTGCTTATTTTTAAGGTCATCAAAAATAACATTTTTACTGCTTATGCTTATATTTGAGACAAGAGGAAGTAATCATGTTAATATTTAAAGGAGCAGAACCCTTGACCAGTTTATCAGTGGTTTGATTTCTTTATCTAAACCACCCAAATTAGATGTCCAAAATATTGTACTCCATCCCTCTTCAACTAACTGTACAACTCAACTATCCTGAAAGGTATGTATCAACAGAAGAATTCTTTAAGCAACATATTACCTAACATTATAAAAATAATGTACATTTATTTTGCAGTACACCTGCATTAAGGAAAACCAATTTTTACAAGGAAAATAAAACCTTAACACTCTCTCAATCAATGAGTAACAATAATTAATACAGCATAATATACTCAATTATGAGTCTACCCCTTGACATAGTCGTTATCAAATTGTTCTGTACTTTTGGTTGATTATTATTTACTAGCCATGTCTTAAAGCAGAACAAAGGGGAAGTCTAAATTCTGTACTTTTAGGTTAATATTTCTATCTTTGAGTGGCTTCAAAGTACAATGAATCTGAGTTAAGCATGTACTTTATTTGCTGAAGTTGTTAACTTCAATCCTATATATACCTTAATGCATCTTTCCATGAAGTTCTCATCTAATTCTTATTTTCCAGTTCTCAAGCTATTACCTTATTTATCATATGGCTTCTCTGGTAGCAAAAAACACTTTTCCAATCATTTTCCTCCTCTTGACAGTATTTTCATTATCCAAAGCTGAACTTCATGCTCATTACTATGACCAAACATGTCCACAATTGGAGAAAATAATTTCAGAGACCACTCTCGGTGCTTCTATCCATGATCCAAAAGTCCCGGCGCATATTTTGAGGATGTTCTTCCATGACTGTTTTATAAGGGTATGAACTCTCAATCTCTCATTCAAAACAAACACACACACATACATGCAATGTTCATGCTAAGTGAAGTTTTTCTTTTATGACTAATGAGTTTCTTGTAATGTTTAATGTTCAATGATAGGGATGTGATGCATCAATATTGCTGGACTCAACTGCCACCAACCAAGCAGAGAAAGACGGTCCTCCTAATATCTCAGTTCGGTCGTTCTACGTAATTGATGAAGCTAAAGCAAAGCTTGAGTTGGCTTGCCCGGGCACTGTTTCCTGTGCTGATATACTCGCTATTTTAGCGAGAGATGTGGTGACCATGGTAGTAGCATTGTCTCTGAGCTAATTTAGACCTGCTAAAGTTATTTATTAATATTCCTTATTTGCTCTGACAGTCTGGAGGTCCATATTGGAATGTTCTAAAAGGACGGAAAGATGGAAGGGTATCAAAGGCGTCTGATACCGTCAACTTACCGGCCCCAACCTCAACTGTAGACCAACTCGTTCAGAGCTTTGCTAAGAGAGGGTTGGGAGTTAAAGATATGGTGACATTATCTGGAGGACACACTCTGGGCTTCTCACATTGTTCTTCCTTTGAGGCTCGTCTTCATAATTTCAGTTCATTACATTCCATTGATCCAAGGTTGAACACTGAATTTGCACTAGACCTAAGAAAGAAATGTCCAAATCCAAACAACAATAAAAACGCAGGGCAATTCCTAGACTCGACAGCATCAGTGTTTGATAATGACTATTACAAACAACTGCTGGCTGGAAAAGGTGTGTTTTCTTCGGATCAGTCACTTGTTGGTGACTACAGAACTAGATGGATTGTAGAAGCATTTGCAAGAGACCAGAGTTTGTTTTTCAAAGAATTTGCAGCTTCAATGCTGAAAGTCGGAAATCTAAGAGGCTTTGATAACGGAGAAGTGAGACTAAATTGCAGGATTGTGAATTGAGAGACATCAGAGATAAACTTGCCCTGATTCTTTTTTGTCTTTGCACGACTTCAGTTATTTACAATATCATCATGAAATCAATGAAGAAGATGCAGTCGTTTAGAATGCAACAACACTGATTACCAGTTTCACGAACATAGTTACGGCAACGCGTCAACACATACACAAGACTGCGTAGAATTACAATAATTTATTAGGGAATCTGGTGATGGTGATGTTCTAAAGAATTCGTATCAAACACTTGGAAAGAATCAACAGAGACTGATACAAAAACGGATACCTAACAGGTGTGGAACCGGTGACATGTACAATCAAACGAGTCGTCGTCGTTAGTGTGAAAAATATTCTCATATATAATCTTATTTAAATTAAATATTTATAGTTTGTATTCAATTATTTTTATTAATTAATTATATCAAAATAAAATTAAAAAGTATCTGACGCATAAAAGCCAAATGAATTCACAATTGTTCTTATAGTTTGTATATAGTCATCAATTCAATTGGTTAGGTATGATGCAGTCGCCAATTCAATATACTAGACCTCTTATTTTTTTAATGGAGTCCCCAATTGAATTTGTTAGTGCTTTGTGTTATAAATGAGAAAAGGTAATTATTTGAGGAATTTTGTTGAAAAACTTGATTATTTTGAGGAAAGAAATTCTACACTTACAGAGATATTAGATAATAAAAAACTTACTTAGACTTTTAAAAATCTTATAAAAAAGTTTGAGAATGGCTTCTCCCACCCTAAGTGGTGGGAAAGTTTCCTAAAAAAAATATGAAAATGTATCTATGAATTTGAAAATGCATTTTCAGACGTATTCATTTCACATTAAATATATGTCTAAGTGAATCACATTTTTATTTTTTAAAAAAATCAAAAATATACTTCTAAATAAATCTGAATGTATACTTTTGTAAACTTTTCTTCACTTCTTTTTGTCTCTAAATTTGAGGAACCTAAAACAATGATATTTCATGGACCTCGCTTCTTTGAGCTTGTGCTCCAGTTTTTAAGCGTATGTCTAAAATCTGAAGTTGCCATTCTAAGAAGTCCACAAAAATAGAATAGTAATTTGGTATTCAACCCCAAAAATAAGAGAACTGAAAAATGAGTGACAATCCCTCAAATAAAGTTTTTTTGATATTTCTATCAAGTAAAATATTAACACCCTTATCATCCAAGCAGAATAAAGAATAAATTATGTTAGGTTACGCTTTAGAATATCTGAATTTAGTATACGAAGGTCTAAATATGATCTATAATCTATTATAATTTTTTTTTTAGTTTAACTTGATTTTTTTTTAAAATCTGACTTGTTCTTAAAGCCTATTTAAAAATCAATTTCTAATTAAAGTTTTCAACTAATCCATATTTAATATTTGTTCATATGAAAATATATGAAAATATTTAATCTATATGAAAATATTTTCAACTAATCCATATATATATTTAATCTATTTTTAATATATATGAAAATATAAATCGACCTATAAGATTTCATAGACTTTTTTTAATAGTCTAAGTCTGATCTATTTAATTAAATAGACTTTTAAAAAAATATAAACTTAATCTTTTTATTAAATTGATCTGACATGATCTTAAATAGGCTAAACTATAAGTCTTTATAGGTTGGTGTAGCCTGATCTAATATATTCTCACCCCCTAATTTGAAAGACAAAAAAGAAGATTACAATGAAATTGTTGAAGCATAAATAGCACTAATAATAGAGTTTATCCTTAATACAAAAAAAAAAAAAAAATGTGGAGAGAGAGTTTACGAAAGTATACTTTCAAATTTATCTAAAAATATATTTTTGAACTATTTTTTACAAAATGAAAATATGACTCACGCATGGATTTAGTGTACTCATGGTATATTCAAAGATATATTTTCAAATTTTAGAAATAATTTTGATTTTTTACTAGAGTGGGTGGAAAAAGTAATTTATAAGAGTTTGGATCTGGAAATTATTAGACCACGCCACAGACTTAAGAAATTAACTTGTTATCCCTATTTTTATACATATTATCCCCAAATTTCATTATTTCCGAAATATCTCTTTTACTATTCAATTTTATCATGTTGGCACTAAAACATACACTACACTGTATGTTAAAATAATCAAATCATCTTATTTTATTATTTAATTTTTCTCTCTCATTCCTTTTTCCCTTTTAGTATCACATTGTCTCTCTTTATTTTCTTAAAGAAAAATTGATAAAAGAATTAATGCAGTGAAGTTGGTAAATGAACCGTGCATATAAATAATACAAGAATGATAATTTTTAATAATATAATAAAGTTGATTAATGAAATTTAAAAAATTAGTTAATAAAGTGATAAAGTTGATTAATAAATAATATATTATTAAAAATAATTAAGTAATAAAATAAAATTGTTTAATAAAATATAAAAAATTAGTTAATAAAATAAAAAAGTTGATTAATAAACACCCAGATATTAAAAATAAATTTTAGTATTAAAACAAAATTGATTAATGAAATATAAAAAATTTATTAATAAAATTTTGAAATTGATTAATAGATTGTCCGAATATTTAGTAGTTATGAAATTGGTTAATGAAATGTAAAAAATTAGTTAATGATGTTATGAAATTGGTTAATAGATTATCCAAATCTTTAGTAGTTATGAAGTTGGTTAAAAATATATTAAAAAATATTTTTTAAAATTTATTATTATAATATTTCACCGTATTGGTGAACAGTAAAATACAATGTAAGTGTAGAAATGTGGGGTAAGAATATCATTTCTCTTTACTATTTACTCTAAAAAGTTTATTTTTGTCAAAAAAAATTTATCATTGGTCAAAAGAGTAAAAAAACGAAATTTCCAGTGAGCTAAATAAATTTTTGGTGCCAATTTTGATCGCTTACCAGAAATTCTTTACATTCTATAAATTTTCGATAGCGATTAACCAGAAATTTAGCACATGTACTGGAAATTACAGAAATTTCCGGTAGAAAACGTTAATCGAAAATTTGAAAATTCCAAGGTATCGAAAATTTCAGTTATACTTGAAATTTCCATTATGTCTACAGATGACATTTTATATTTTTGTGGTCTTGAACCGGCAACGTCAGCTTCTTCTACGAATTTGTGTATTAATCTTACGCAGTTCTTTATCACATATACGGTATGGTTCCTATTTAATTTACATATTCTTTTTATTTGTTTTTTTGTATATTGATGAAGTTTACTAATTATATGTTATTGTAATTGCCAGATTTTTGAATCACGAGTTAAAGTTCTAGAATGGGCACAATCTATTGGTAAAAATTATGGTATTGTTGTTGTTACAATTCGGTCTAATTCTGCTAATGGATTGCGAGGGAGGAAGGATAAATTGATTATGCATTGTGATATAAGAGAAAATTACAAAAAGAAAAATGAATCTAAAAAGTCGTCTGATGACAACTATACTATGAAGGTTAGATGTTCATTTAGGCTGAAATCTATTCCAAGTGGTATCAGTTGAAAGGTGATGGTTAAATGTGATTTGCACAATCATAAACTGTATAAGGATTGGGAAGCATGTGATATATTGGATTGTCTAAAAGATCATGAAAGAAAGTTTGTGAAACGAAGTACAACATGGCACCAAGGTACATCGTGTCTGCTTTGAAAGACAAAGACCCAGACAATCTCACGAGTATTACCCAGGTATACGGAGCTAGAGCAACATACAAAATGGACAAGAGATGTGCAATGACATAAATGCAAATGTTATTGAGCCTTATTCATCAAGAAAAATACATGTGTGGGACTAGAAATAGGAAGAATTCAGATATTGTGGATGATATTTTCTAGACACATTCTGACTCTGAAGTTGTTCAATATGTTTCATATGGTGTTAATATTTGATTGCACATACAAGACAACATAGATAAGAATTTTACTTCTCTCATTCTAAAATACGATTGAGTGACATGGTTGTTTATGTACATTTTAATCATACATGTACCGACTACCATTGTTGGAGATTGTTGGTGTTACGTCAATAAAATTGACTTTTTCAGTTACTTTTGCCTATTTAGAACATGAAAGGGAGGAGAACTTCACATGGACACTACAGAAGCTCAAAGAGTTTTTCTATTCAGAGAATTGCATCTGAATGTTGTGGTGACAGATCGGGGACTTGCATTAATGAATGCCATTGATTATGTGTTTCCAAATGCAAATCATATGTTGTGTACGTTTCATATTTCAAAAAACGTGAGCACAAAATGTAAGGAGTATGTGACATCAGAAAGACAAAAACATGTCATGGATTAATGGAATAACATCATGTATTCAAATACAGAAGACGAGTTTGATGTACATTTCAACCACTTCGAGAGTGTTTGTGGTGGCATTTCATCATTTATCAAGTATTTGAATGAAACATGGTTAACACCATATAAAGAAAGATTTGTTGTTGTATGGACTAACAGAGTCGCTCGCTTAGGAAATACAACAACAAACAGGTAGATTTGACTAACAAAAAATATATTTATGTTTAGATATTAATTTGAAAGTTGTTTATATAATATCTTCATGTTTTCTTTCATTTATACGTCGATGACATAATTGATGTTGAGAATGATGGAAATTGTGATTTCCGTTGCATTTCATCTTTAGTAGGATGGGGGCAATATGCATGTTATTCGGTTCGGAAGCAGTTGGATACTCAAGTCCATCAACACGCTGGCTTATTTTCCAAGTTATTCTATGACACTATCTTTGTTGTTAAGACTTTGTTACAAGTAAAATACTTGGGTGTGCAGGGTAGGGATAAATGGATGTCAAATCCTGATATGGGTTACCCTATTGCTTCTAAATATGGAGTCGTATTTATTTTCATTTCTATGAGACTTAACATAACATTTTCCCATTTCTCATAGCGTCACCCTTGTACACGAGTCGACATACAATCATTGTTGTTGATTTTGTCAACAAAAATTACTGGGTTCAACAAAAGTTGAAACCCGGTTGTATACTACCTCCCGTCACTACTCATTGGAGGGAGAATTGTTCTAATGATGCAAAAGCATGAGAATCAACTTATGCAAGTCGTTTCAAACATTGGGAAGAATTGTCCAGGAAGTGATTGTAGTTTTTATTAATGTATATATGTATGACATTTATTGTATTTATATATTAAGTCGGTTCGATATTTCACTATGTATTTTATTCAAATAAAAATAAAAATAAAAATTTAAAAAAATTTCAATACTACCATAAATTTTCAATTTTCAATTTTTTCCACACCAGAAATTTCAAATTTCAAATTTCTTATAAGGATGAAATACATCAGAAATTTAAAATTTCCGATACCAAATATTTCAAATTTCCGATTAAGTTCATATGACACAATAAAAAATTGAAAAATCAACAAAATTTCTAATACGACACTGAAAATTTCAAAATATCCGGTATATTACATAGACAATTTCATAAAAGTGTTAAGACTGAAGGCTAACATGTATAAAATAAATAGTGGCATTTTAATTCCTTCACCAGCTAAGTTGGCCGGCTTGTGCTATTCACACTTCTGAGATAAAAATCTTACTCTCTAGTCTCATATATACATAAAAAAAAACTAACTTCACCTACCCTATGAAGAGTAATTAGTGTCATTTAATTTTCTCAAGATAATTAAAACGTAATTCTATTTTTCAACTTACCTGTCATAGAATTTTGTTCTATGAGAGTAAAAACTTTATATTGTTTTAACCCAATTGAATAATAATATAGGGAAAATAATATTACAATAAGATAAAATTTTGTATCATTTGCTTGCTTATTTTTAAGGTCATCAAAAATAACATTTTTACTGCTTATGCTTATATTTGAGACAAGAGGAAGTAATCATGTTAATATTTAAAGGAGCAGAACCCTTGACCAGTTTATCAGTGGTTTGATTTCTTTATCTAAAGCACCCAAATTAGATGTCCAAAATATTGTACTCCATCCCTCTTCAACTAACTGTACAACTCAACTATCCTGAAAGGTATGTATCAACAGAAGAATTCTTTAAGCAACATGTTACCTAACATTATAAAAATAATGTACATTTATTTTGCAGTACACCTGCATTAAGGAAAACCAATTTTTACAAGGAAAATAAAACCTTAACATACTCTCAATCAATGAGTAACAATAATTAATACAGCATAATATACTCAATTATGAGTCTACCCCTTGACATAGTCGTTATCAAATTGTTCTGTACTTTTGGTTGATTATTATTTACTAGCCATGTCTTAAAGCAGAACAAAGGGGAAGTCTAAATTCTGTACTTTTAGGTTAATATTTCTATCTTTGAGTGGCTTCAAAGTACAATGAATCTGAGTTAAGCATGTACTTTATTTGCTGAAGTTGTTAACTTCAATCCTATATATACCTTAATGCATCTTTCCATGAAGTTCTCATCTAATTCTTATTTTCCAGTTCTCAAGCTATTACCTTATTTATCATATGGCTTCTCTGGTAGCAAAAAACACTTTTCCAATCATTTTCCTCCTCTTGACAGTATTTTCATTATCCAAAGCTGAACTTCATGCTCATTACTATGACCAAACATGTCCACAATTGGAGAAAATAATTTCAGAGACCGCTCTCGGTGCTTCTATCCATGATCCAAAAGTCCCGGCGCATATTTTGAGGATGTTCTTCCATGACTGTTTTTTAAGGGTATGAACTCTCAATCTCTCATTCAAAACAAACACACACACACATACATGCAATGTTCATGCTAAGTGAAGTTTTTCTTTTATGACTAATGAGTTTCTTGTAATGTTTAATGTTCAATGATAGGGATGTGATGCATCAATATTGCTGGACTCAACTGCCACCAACCAAGCAGAGAAAGACGGTCCTCCTAATATCTCAGTTCGGTCGTTCTACGTAATTGATGAAGCTAAAGCAAAGCTTGAGTTGGCTTGCCCGGGCACTGTTTCCTGTGCTGATATACTCGCTATTTTAGCGAGAGATGTGGTGACCATGGTAGTAGCATTGTCTCTGAGCTAATTTAGACCTGCTAAAGTTATTTATTAATATTCCTTATTTGCTCTGACAGTCTGGAGGTCCATATTGGAATGTTCTAAAAGGACGGAAAGATGGAAGGGTATCAAAGGCGTCTGATACCGTCAACTTACCGGCCCCAACCTCAACTGTAGACCAACTCGTTCAGAGCTTTGCTAAGAGAGGGTTGGGAGTTAAAGATATGGTGACATTATCTGGAGGACACACTCTGGGCTTCTCACATTGTTCTTCCTTTGAGGCTCGTCTTCATAATTTCAGTTCATTACATTCCATTGATCCAAGGTTGAACACTGAATTTGCACTAGACCTAAGAAAGAAATGTCCAAATCCAAACAACAATAAAAACGCAGGGCAATTCCTAGACTCGACAGCATCAGTGTTTGATAATGACTATTACAAACAACTGCTGGCTGGAAAAGGTGTGTTTTCTTCGGATCAGTCACTTGTTGGTGACTACAGAACTAGATGGATTGTAGAAGCATTTGCAAGAGACCAGAGTTTGTTTTTCAAAGAATTTGCAGCTTCAATGCTGAAAGTCGGAAATCTAAGAGGCTTTGATAACGGAGAAGTGAGACTAAATTGCAGGATTGTGAATTGAGAGACATCAGAGATAAACTTGCCCTGATTCTTTTTTGTCTTTGCACGACTTCAGTTATTTACAATATCATCATAAAAATCTTGTTACTACTTATTGAAATAAATGTGATTATACTTGTATACCTGTTATTTGAAGAATGATAAAAGAAAAATGATCATCTGTTCCCGGTAGCAGGGTACTCTATTACTGTTTTCCCAGTATTACATTGACATAAAGTTTTTAACACTTCTTTCATTCTTATCAAGGGTTGAGATCATGTAACTGAGCCTTCCATTCCGTATTGACGGCCCCCAAGCCACTTTCTTTCTATAAATGACTACAGATGTACAAACTAATGTTAGCCCCCAAACCTAAAGAATAAGCAGCCTTCATACAATATATGAATTTCAAACTGCAAACAAGATTTTGAGAAATTCTAGTTAAGACTCAGCTTAATGATGTTTTACACATGAGAAGAGTGATTGAAAATGTTTGCAATAGCTTAAAACCTCTATAGGAATTTCAATTTGGAAAATCTCTTGTAGTGTTCGGGTATGGTAAGGGTAATAACCTAATTACGTTTTATAAACTTTAACCTAAGCAGGGCACATGAGACAGCAACAATCGAAACTTCACCTAAACATCTCATATGAGTTTTAGCAAAATGTTAAATCCTAACCAATGTTGTCGATGGTGGAGAGCCAAAATCCCGCCATACCGGCCGCTTTGCGGCGCCATTATAGCGAATTATGGCAGAAAAACCCGCAATATCGGCGATACTTACCATTGTGGCAAGCCCAAAAACCGTCATGGATATCCTTGCCATAGTGGCGAGCCCAAAAACCGCCATGTATATCAGCCTTAGCGGCCATGACGCGACCATTTGACAACACTATCCTAACTGAGCTGTAACATTAAAGACTGAGATATAGTAGATGGAGGTGGGATCAACAAGCAGTAAAATCACAACAAACAGATATCTTGAAATAACAAAATTTCATTGATAACCTTCAAGGGATAAAAAAGGCAACCTTTTTCCATGATATTCATCTTGAAGTATCCATAATAGCAATTCAAAAATTCTGAAACAATACATAAATACTCATATAAGGTTATGAGAATCGGAACTCTATTATAGTACTAGACTTCCCTTTGTAATAATGTCTCGGAGTGGGTAGTTGATTTACGTAACCAGATTTTTCAAAATGACTTACCGATTTTGTTTACATATGACAGTAAATTGTCGGTGGCATAAAATTGCATACAGAATATTTTACAACATTGAAGATCTAAACAATACAAAAAATTATGTGATAAGCTAACAAATAGAAAGCCTTCAGGAGAAGAATATACCAGATTATCTCATACAAGACGCGAACCATTCTTCAAGCAAACACGACATCCGAACGAAACACATATTTGACACCCTTTGTAACGTTTCTGGCTTCATGCAACAAGCATTTATCTCCATGAATGTGCAAGAGTGCCATCCCTTCAATGGGAGCAACCTGCGAAATCAATTTAGTATCAACACCCAAAGCAGATATCACATCTCAAAACATGAATTCTGCAGCATCACCCCATATTTCGCTAAAATAAAATAAAGTAAAAAGAAATATCTACCTCCGCGACAGTGCTATTTCTTGAACCATAAAATACTGTTTCTCCTCCAACCAAACGATCAAAAGATGAATCTATAGGTTTGCTGGAATCATTTTTAGGCTTTGATTTAAGTTCACCAGGTCCACCACTTAAATAAACTAGCAAAGTATAACGAGTTCTTTTTCCATCTCCAAGATCAACACTCTCATCAATATGTCGTCCAAATCGTTGACCAGCCTTGTACCTTAAATACAAAAATGCATGACATTTAGTGAATGTAATCTTTATTTTTCCTCAAAATAACCAAACACATCATAAACAAAAGTGCAATGTTCCAAGAAGAGCAATAGCATACTGAAAACTTAGGCCTTGTTTAGATAAACAATTTAGTTAAATACATATAGCATAAGTACTTATCATATTGATACAAGTATTTATTATACAACAACAACAACAACAACAACCAAATCTTATCCTACTAAATGGAGTCAGCTACATGGATCAGCTCCCGCCATAATGTTTTATCCAAAACCATGTTTCTATCCAAATCATTAATCTCGAGATCTTTCTCAATAACCTCTCTTATAGTTTTTCTATGTCTTCCTCTACCTCTATCTGGATGACTCCTCTCCATCTAATCTACTCTCCTTACCACAGAATCTACCGGTCTACTCTCTATATGCCTAAACCATCTGAGTCTATTTTCCACCATTATTTCGTAATTGATCCATGTCATAGAGATTCGCCAAAGTTTTATGTATAAACTATTTCTATAACAAAAATAAAACATAACAAAATTATTTTCATATAAGCTATAAGCTGTCTTGGGAGGCTATAGTGAACTTATAAAAATAAGCTGAAAACAACTTATGAACATGTCATAGGTTCTCTCATAAGCTCTCTCGAACAATCTCACAATTGTTTAAGCTACTAAAAAAGTTCAAAAAAGTCATTCCAAACAGACCTATACTACTATCATACTATGCAATAAACTTTTATCTCAGAGCAAGAGCAAAATTAAAGCACCAACCTATATAATCTAATATTCGGATTCAAACCTACAGCCGATTTCCCCCGAATTCTTAAATCAGAAAACATTTTATTAAGCCCAGAATTCCAAATTGAATCAGCCAGAACCGAATCGTTCACCGAGATTCGATCATTATCTCGGTAAGCTTCACCTTTAGCTGGACCTAAACTCCCTTGATGAGCAAAACCAATTCCCTCAGCAGTTTCAACGAATGCTTTTGATTCAGCAGAGGAGAAAAAATTCCGAACCTGAATTGTTGAATGGTGAAATCATCGAAATTAGAATCATTCACAGATTAGTAATGACTAAAATTGGTGAAAATTTGATGAGAAGGAAATAGTAACCGTGAAAAGATCGAAATCTCGTAAGGGAGTGATTTGAAGATTGTTTTTGGGTTTGATGGAAGGCCATTTTGGCGCAGGTGTTTCTTTTCTGTCTCCCATTTTTCTCTTCCTCGCTGCGATTTCTGACATTTTGCTATTGCTACCGATATTTCTCTCTTTCATAGCTTATGTGGTTGTGGTTTGGCCCAATTTTTGTTTGGTTTATGGTTTACAAATGATTGGGCTTCATTCGGCCCAATTAATTAATATAGACTATTGAATTAGGTAATTTCTCTTTACACTCTTGTACTATGAGACACACATCTGAAAACTCTAAAATATTTTCAGAGATGTATTTCGAAAAAGGTCCAGCAAAAACTTGAATATATGACCACCTTGCATGATCATCTTCTCCACTCTTCAAACTCCTTCATAACCAAAAAACCGTTAAAAAAATTTCATTATCAATCAAGTTTTCGATTCCAAACCAGATTTCTTGCATTTTATCACACCAAAAGAAGCAAAATAAGTTTCAATTTAAGGTAAAGTTCCCTCACTCATCCCTCATTGCTTCCATTAATTTTAAGTTTGAGCTGAAAAAAAGTTCGCCTTGTCCGGATATACATATCTGAACCCACCTACAATATTTCAGATATGTATATCTGAATTAATCTGTTATCGATTTTTAAGTATTTTCCTGTTTTGGTTTTTAATAGATATAGTTCCCCCGGATATGTTTCTCAAAGTTATTGTACGTAACGATGTAAAATAGGATGTAGTGAAGGATAATGTTAAACCAGTTCAAGTGAAGCATGATGTTAAACCGGAAGAAGTGAAGGATGATGTTAAACCGATTCTTGTCGAGATAGATATTGGACAGTGTTTTATAAATGAACAATTGTTTACTGCTCGTGAACATATGCTTCAATGGGTTCCATAATAGCCAGGAATTTAGGGTTTGGAATTGTAATCAAAAGGTCCGACAATGGTTCAAATAGAAGACAATCATTTGTAACAATGAGATGTGAGATAAGTGGCACATATGTTCATCCAATTCGGAAGTTGAAACACGATGACACCGGAACAAGAAAATGTGATTGTTTGTTTAAACTGCACGAATATTTTAATGTGGATGATATGTGAAAATTTAATGTAATTTCTAGAATACATAACCATGTCTTGCAAACAAAGTTAGTCGGTCATCCCATCGCATGTCGTCTTAAATCAGAGGAGAAAGAAATTATTTTCGAACATGTCTTCTATTAGAGTGGCGCCGAAAAATATACTTGCAGATTTGAAACGGAAACACCCAACAAGTGTTTCAAATATGAAGCAGGTATACAATGTGTGTCATCGAAACAACATGGCGACAAGGGGTCAACGATCTGAAATGCAACAACTTTTGAAAATTTTGGATGAAAACCACTATATTTCTAGGTACACATTATGTGATAATAAAGTCATTATTCTTGACAAATTATGGACTCGTCCCAAAAGTATCAAGTTGTTAAACATATTTCCTATTTTCCTCATTATCGATGCAACATACAAGATCAACAAGTATAGGTTTCCGCTTCTTGAAATTGTTGGTGTTACTTCTACAGAGAAGACTTTTTCAGTGGGATTTTGAAATCTGAAAAAGAGATCAATATTACATGGGCCTTGGAAGTATTCAAGACTTTGTTGAAGGACCAAAAAAAAATGATGAAGGTAATTGTCACCAATTGAGAAACCACACTAATAAATTCGGCTGTGAAGGTGTTTCCTACATCCTATGCATTACTTTGTTGATATCACAATTTAAAAAATTTGAGGAGTCGGATAAAATTAGCGGTAGGTACCAAACAAATCAAGGGTGAAGATAGAAAAATGGTCAAACCAAGTGTGGTGGTGGAAAATATTATGGAATGGATTGGTAAATATTAAATTCATCCATAAAAGAATTGTATGTTGCCTTCGTAATGCATTTTAGGAGCTTGTGTGTCTGGTATCCAGATTTCTTGAAATACATTGAGAGTACTATTCTGGACCAAGTGAAGGAGAAAATTGTATGTGCATGGACCAATTAGGTTAGACACCTTTGTAATACAATAACTAATAGAGTGGAATCAACACATTCGACATTGAAGGAATGGTTAGGTGATAGTAAGGGTGATTTCAGTAGAGATTGGGACGGGGTGAACCAAATGCTCCAAAACCATTATTTAGAAATACAAACTACATTCGATCGAAGCATAACAATGCAAAACATAGATTCAAAGACAACATTCTTTATTCACAATTGCATCCCCATAATTGTAGCATGTCATCCGAAGGTAATTTACCATGCATTAAACGCCACATTAAGATGGACTTGGAAGGAGGTATGTCAGGACTCCAAAAACACTTCTCTCAGTCGAGTTTAACCGGGGGACAATCATTGGTGATGTAAGATTGTTTGATAGTGAGTTTCCCATCTAAATCATTCACCCATACCGATTTGTCATTAATAGAGTCAGAAAGAGTAACATGAGCCAAATCTTGCAGCAAAAAGGGAAAAGCGGCATAATAATTAGCAGTAATGGACCAAAAACCATGATGTCAAACTCCAGCAACAAGCATATTGGGATCAATGCCACGCATCTCTAAAGTGGACAAATACATTTTTTTACAACAGATGGATATCACACTAGAGATCCTTCCAAAATCTAATGTTATTACCATTGTCAATCAACCACTTTATCTTCGATCTAAGAAGAGAACACCCAGGTTTCAAACTATAGCAAAGAGTAGAAAATTGTGATGCTTTATGATACCATGTCTTTTCAACACCCTAGCTTTTAGAATTTTGGCCCACTGCTCATCGCTATTAATTATTTTCCAACTAATCTTGAGGTTTGATGAATTATTCATAATTACCATAAATCTTAACCCAAGCCCTCCATGATCATGAAGATGAGATTGTTATACCCCAATTTTTGCCCCTAAGATACCTCTATCACATCACATCAATTCAGTGACAACAAGATCACACTAGGGTTTGGCTCTTCTCCTTATCTTTAAGTTTTGCTTATGGGGAATCACCAAACACCTTGACTTGTATTTTGTGATCATCTATGTTTTGTAGTGATTAACTTTTAACTAAAAAATACAAGGAATGGTTGCCCTAATTGATGATGTTGTAGGTTAAAGTACAATACATTCCATCAAGTTGATCTATAGGTTCATGAGTTCATTTCGGTGTCTTCTTCAACAAAGCTTCATTAAGGTTCAAGCTTCATTATTAAAGATATTTTGAAATAACATCATGACAAAGTCTATTATGATTCATGAGGCCTTAAGTTGTCAAAAATAGTTCAAAGGTGCAAGGGTTGATTGAAGAAGTTTGACATAGTTGGACAAGTATTTGTTTCCATTGATCACAAGTGCATATCTCCTTCAATCATCAAGATTTGAAAGTGGTGTTGGTTTCTATAGTCTCTCCTTATAATTCTCAACAACTTCTATTTACATGAAAAAAGTATTTATGCAAGAAATTTGATCAAAAGTGCAAAGGCTTCCCAAAGCATTTTGTTGCTCTATGAGCTAGGGTTTTAAATTTCAAAGGGGTATATCTTGCTCATCTTTTGGTATTTTTGAGTGAATCCAAAGACATGCTTATCTTTAAAGGGTTATTAACAAATCACTTCAAAAGTTTCAAGGAAATTTTGTGTGGAAGAAACTTAATGATGAAGAAAGATTACAAGTCCTCTAGATGAACCCTCAAATTCCATTAGGTGGTTTTGAAAGATCATAACTTGGTCAATTTTTATCACCTTGAAACCATTATTTTTACATATTGATCTTAGAGATATGAAATTCAACCTTTCTTTTAAATGCAAAATGTGAAAATGGATGGAAGATGCCCTAAGGATGCAAAAGATTATAGGTCATTTTATGAAATTTTGCCAATTTCAACAAGTCATAACTTCCTCAATTTTTGGAGATTTTGAATGGTCCAAGTCTCAAAATTCCATTCAAGAGGTATACTTCATGCCAAGTGGAATGCCATGTTTGGATTCAAGATATTATAAGTCATTTTTGAAGAAAAAACTTAGAAATTTTCTAAGTATAGAAAGTCAACCTCTTTTTCTCAGCTTTAACTCATCACAACTTTCAACTCAAGCATCCATTTGATCCCATTCTTTGCATATTGTAAAGCTTATAATCTCATATTTCTAAAACTTCAAGAATCATGTCCTAAGACCCCTTGAGTTGAGAATGCCATTGATTTGAATTTGGTAACTTGAAACTGGGGTTTCTCCAAAAGTCAGAATTTGAAATCCTTGTTTTGGCTTCTAAACACAAAATTATTACGCGTTTTTGTTTCTAATCACGTTTAGTGAACCTCCAGAATTGATTAGCACCTAAAAATGAAAAGAATAGACGAGTTTTGATGAAAATCAAGTCACACTTCACTCGTGCTCGACCTCCATCCAATTTCCCTCCAAACTTCGTTATTTCCTCCAATTCTCTATCTCATTCAATCCCCTATAAATAAAGGACCTTATTCCACACTTTTACACAAGCTTTGAGAGCCAAACACACCCTGCCAAAACTTCATTTGAGCTCCAAATTTTTGAAATCGGTTTCTGAATTTCAAGCTTCCTTCTCCAAATTTCTGTTCACATTCATCATTCTCCATCAACACACAAGCTCTCGAGCACTTGAACCAAGCAAATCAAGCCACATTTCAAGCTACAGAAGTTCAGTTTCAGAGCGTCATTGTTGAACTTCATTTAGATAGAATTCTTAACCATTTGGATCCAAATGAAGCACTAACTTACTCTACTCATCCTTTTGATCCTCATACTTCTTACAAATTTTAAAATCATTGAGAATTGAGTGAGAAATCTCAACCTAATTGTGCTCGCTATTTTCTATACTTTTGATCCATAACTCTTTGCACACTTTACATAAATTTGGCACGAGGGGGGGATCATCTTGAAGAGGCGAATCCAATGACGCCAGTCTGAGTTTCTAACTTTTCCGTTTGAAGAAACTCACAAAATCCCAATTGCAGGGTGTCTGGAGGTTGAAGACGATGACATGTCTCGTCTCAACCAATGATAGCACGCTAATTATTTTATTTTTATTGGTTGGCTATTTTTTAATCCAATGTGTTTTTAAAT